AACCATACCTGCGCTTACCCGCGCTTACCCGGTAAAATCACTATTCCATCTCAAATCATACCACCGCATATCGGCATTTTGGGCACAATAGTGAACACACGGTATCATACGGTTGCATTCCTGACACCCTTAGCCGATCCCGTATCTTACCGTTTGATACCATACAATTCCACCGACTTTTCACTGGGGCTCCCGCCCCATCCGTCGAATGATGCCTCGCGGTTCGCATTCGTAATTCGCCACTCGTTATGCGCGTTGGGGTCCTTTCTCCTCCACGATGCAGCGACTTTGCATGTACGGTGGAACGACGCGTATCGGCCTGATGGACCGGGGCATGCGGGCAAGGGATGGATGTGGCGCTATGTTGCTGCTGCTGCTATCGGGTTTGCAGCCTCGGCGTACGGTGTTGAGCGCACTGACTGTCGCGGTGGGTTTGTGTCGGCCGGAGGAGTGGCCGTTGTTGTTTGGCTCCCCGCGCGAGGCGTTCACGATTCGTCGGTTCTGGGGGTAAGCATAACTTTGACCCGGTCTGCGTCCCTCACTGATGTCTCACCAGCCGTGCGTGGCACCAAATCATGCGCCGGGTAAGTGATTCATGTTCTTCACTTGTAATCCTCATTCTCACCGCTTGCAGTATGTCTCGGTGCATGGCAAATATCTCGCACACAAGGTCTTGCACCTCACTCCCGGCAAAAATCCCTCCGCATACGTCCAACTATACACCGCGTTCTTCATCTCTGCTCTGATCCACTACGGCGGCGAGACGTTTGCTTTCCAACACTTTGGAGGCGGCGCATTCACGTTCTTCATGCTCCAAGCCGTTGCCATCACATTCGAGGATTTCCTTCTTCACCTCGCGCGCCAGACGCCTCTCAACCGATTCAGCGGTACCAGTATTGCACGCAGGCTGGGTTACGTGTGGACGTTGTCTTGGTTTGCGCTGTCTTTGCCGATTTGGCAGGAGCCGTTGAGGAGGTCTGCGTTGATGGAGAATGGGATGGCTGTGAGCCTCATTTCGGTGTTGATGGGTGGGGAGTGGAACCTCAAGCCAATGCAAACGTAGTCGAGAGCGTGTATCTTACATCTCGCTTCTAATGCTTATCGCCGCCCACATCCGCACGATCTCTGTGCAATTTCTACCGAATCCTCAACCTTGATGCAGTACAACGGCCTATCCAGCACCGATATTGTCAGCATATGTATTGTCGAGGGCAACAAACACCTTTTATGCACTGACTCAAACCCTTCGACGAACCCATTCGTCATCCCGAATGTTGGCTTGTAAACACTCCGAGGCCTCGGGAGCCAGGTGCACACGTTCGTCGCGCCTTGTTGAACTCACGATGCAACTCATATCCGTCATCCATTTGCACGAGGTTGTGCACCTGCGAACCATGGTGGTTTTTCGGGATTTCGCAGCAGGGAGCTCCCGTTCGATTCGGGGCTGGGTGTTAAAGCGGTGGATATTGCGGCGATTATTTTGACTTCCCACGGTTGCGAATCCCGGAACACGTCGGTTCCGTGCTTTATTTATACATACTTGCCAGCAGCCCGACTGGCTGTTCAATTTCTGTTCACCATGCTCAATTCATTTTGCGGAGATGAATTCGGCGTGTGGAAAGTGAACACTCTCCCTCCGACTTCGAAAGTAGCTCAGGGTTGATTCCAGCAAACAAGTATCTATGAACGCTCATCATACATTTGACCGGTGCCACGGTCCGACGGCGCCAATACAAACAAGATTTAAAGAACCTCGGCTAATCGAGGCCGCCCTGAGATCAGCTGAATGGGCGCTATAATTGACACTGGCACGCTGGCCGTCTACCTTGCTTCCTCCCTCCATGTTGCTGCTACTATCCACCCCGCTGCTCCTGCTAGCCAGCACATCTGCAGCGGCGGCCGCATTCCCCGACGGAGTGCTAGCAACGGGCACGCAAGGCACGACCAACCCACCCGTCCCGACGATGCCCACCACGATAAACCAGAATTCCATGGCCCGCCTGTTGAGCGTCAACTCGATCGACGACTTTTGCATATTCGCGCCTCCGTCGTATGACACGATCCCCAATACCGAGGTGCGTCGTAGATTCCGTTATCCTTATCTGTGCTAAGTAAGTTCCGAAGACCGTCGAAGTCGCGTGGTGCACCGTCCCGCGCAACGGCGCGCGTGTTATCCCCGACGGCACCTTCTCCGGCGTCTCCTTCCTCAAAACGCCCTTTTACGTTCAGATCTTGGGCTTTGGCGATTTCACAAAGATCAACGTCGCTGCGAACGACGCTGGGGGCGAGCTCGACCCACACGGGGCGTCAGGCGCAGGGAACCCTGTCGGCGGAAATGTGTCAACCACCGTTATCAACGGCCTCGATGAGCCGATCGCCGAGTGGATGCTCTTCATCGACAATACACAGTTTTGTTTGAGGGCGTGTACGAATGGCAACGCGACGTATGCGCCCATGTATATGTGCTGGCACGAGTTGGATGAAATGGGCTGCGAGTTCAACATGCCGGGAACCTATAATTACCAGGGCGGAGTTTAGTGCGTCTTTTACTTCCTTCCTTTCAGATCTTTGGCTGAAGTTATCCAACAGCGAGACATGCGACGCAGATGTAGCCTATCCTCCAGGCTGGTACCCCAACGTGGTCGACGGCACAACATCCTTCTCCACCTTTGCGCAATACTTCACCGGCGTTTACACCGGCGGGGACGGACTGCCCACATCATACACCGTCGGCGACACCATCACACCCTCCACCGTAGCCAGCACACCCTCATCATCCAACTGCGTGCCACAGAGCACTGTGGGTAATGGAATCCCGCTCGATCAGTTGACCGCCGGGGCGCAGGGAACCGCCCCGTTGACGCAGTTCAGTTCCGTTACAATGCTGCCGAGTGGGGCGAGCGCGCCTTCTGCTCCTGTTCCTGCGCCTGCGCCTTCGGGTTCGAGTTCGGGGTCGGGACCACCACCGTCTGTACCTCAGTCTCCATCGATATCGCAAAACACTCCGGCGCCGAAGCCAGCTGTTGTTGGAGGTAGTGTTCCTGTGCCGGTGATCAACTCCAGCTCCAATACAGCCAGCGCATCTCCTTCATTACCGACCAGTGGTCCTACGCCCTCTTCTGGATCCAACGGGGCGTTGCGAGGTTCCGCGCCAATGTCTGGGATGGCGCTGTTGGTGGGTGGGGTGTTGGGCGTTCTGGGTTATTGGTGATTCTTCATGGACCTTTTGTTACTCTACGCGTCTGGCTTGATCAGGGACTTTGGATTTGAATACACGGTTACGAGGCTTCTTCAGCATCAGATGTACCAGTTTCGATGGCTCAGTTCGGATGGAATGTTGTAATGCGAGAGACATTTATGTAAGTACCGGAAGGCCAGGCAAAATTGATGGTTTGACGGAGTGTGAGGCACGAGTGCTCCACAAAACCGAGTTTGTGGATCAGCAACCGTCACCACGTTACGTTTGCTTCTTGTCTCGAGCCACCTCGCACGCTGGCATTGTCGCCCTCGGCGGCGCCGTTCTTTTTGTGCCTCTGACGTGCGAGTGGCTCGAGTGTTCCATCTACTCCTCTCATCCTCTTCCCACTCTCCGCAACTCCTCAAGCCATTGCCTAGGGCTTCGGGTGCTGCAGTGGCGCGCGGCAATGGCGGTCGGCTACTATGGATTTGGGTGCGTCTCTGCGCGCCGACCGCCTTCATGGCCACTGACCTCGCTGTCACCTCCCTTACCTTCCACACTGGAGTCGTCTGTCCTCGCCGCATGGCTCTTATCTCCGCATTGCGGGCACCATCGCCGTTGCTGGCGCCGCTGTTCTGTTCCGTAGATATCACCGCTGCCCGTCAATGAATCATCTGCATTTCGACACTTGCGTCCCTGCGTTACCTTCCCCTGTCTTTGCATCCCCGTCTCTTTCTATCCAGCCCCCTGTGTCTCTGCGCTCCGTCTTTGGGACTGTCCGGCATCCGCTTCCCTGCATGAACTCTGTCTCGCTGCTGCTGAACCATGCCGTTGCATACCGCTGTTTTCTGAACGCGCTTGTCGCGCCGCTGTTGCTGAACACGCATTGCCGTGCCGCTGTTGCTGAGCGCGCTTTATTGTGTTGCTGTTGCTGTTGCTCCTCTGATACTGGGGTGCCCCCAGAGTCGAGTTTGCTGTTTTCTGTTCGAGCGTTGCGCTGCTGTTGCTGTTTGCGCCTTCGCGCCGCTGTTCTGCTTCTCCTCTGACACTGGGGTGCCCCCAGAGTTGAGTTTGCTGTTTTCTGTTTGCGCTGTGCGCCGCTGTTGCTGTTTGCGCCTTCGCGCCGCTGTTCTGTTCCTCCTCTGACACTGGTGTGCCCCCAGAGTTGAGTTTGCTGTTTTCTGTTTGCGCTGTGCGCCGCTGTTGCTGTTTGCGCCTTTGCGCCGCTGTTTTGTTCCTCCTCTGATACTGGTGTGCCCCCAGAGTTGAGTTCGCTGTTCTCTGTTTGCGCTCTGCACCGCTGTTGCTGTTCGCACCTTCGTGCCGCTGTTCTGTTCCTCCTCTGATGCCCCCCAGAGGCGAGTTCGCTATTCGCTATTCGCGCCAATGTTTCTGTCACTCCTCTGATGCTGGGGTACCTCCAGAGGAGTCTCTGTCCTGCTGTTTGCGCTGTTTGCGGCTGTTACTGTCCTTGCTCCTCGGGTGGGGAGCTGCTGTCGATGTGTAACTTTTCTTTTCTCTCATCAATATTAGCTGCTTTCCGTGCAAACACTCATGACCAATTTGGTCTTATCCTTCTTTGTCTTCCTCCTAGTGTGTTTGGGGTTCCTGCGCGGATGCGTTATCGACAACTCCTAATGCGTTGGGGTCCGCGCTGAAACCCTGTGTTGCGTCCGGAGCCAAGGCTGCCACTCTGCCTGATGGTGGCCTCGGCCTCCTCCCATCTTTTCCTGCTGATTCTGGTCTTGTTCTATGCCACCACAGTGCGAGTGCAATCCACAAAGTGAGAGAGAGACCTTCAAAAAGGGGTGGAAATGTTGGATAGCAGCAACTCGTTTCGATCGAGTGACCTCGGGGTTGGACAACGCCAATACGCATATGGGCCCCGCGCGCTTCCATCTGCGCCATGCTGCTAGATGTGATGAAGTCGTGAGTTTTTGAGCCGGCCTGACAGCCAATCACGTATGTAATGCTGAATTTCTGGGTTGAAATCGAAATAGGCGGGATGCGAGAGACAAGAACTCGAAACCTGAAAAAAGAAGAGGCCAACGGCAACAGATACTGGCACCAACTCGTTTCGATCGAGTGATGGTGACCTCGAGCTACCCGGCAGACCAAGGTCGGTCCCTGGTCAGGTGCATAATGTATGCGCTGCTAACACACTTGCAACAGTGAACAATTAAGAGGTCTGGATTCGATTAACATCATCAGCGAGGAAGCACAAGTCCGGTATAACCAAGTAATAAAAACGGGACATCTTTTCCCGATACGAGTCCATCATCAAACCCCGGGCAGCGTAAACCCAGGCAAATCAGGCCAATTCCCCATCCCCGCCGGATCCCCACCAATCCTGACCCAAATCCCATGCGACGGCGTCGGCCCATCAAGTATGAACAGCTGGTGCCACCCGGGCGGAGAGATATTCGCGTTGGGCGGGGCGGTAATCTTACACGTACTCGTCTTACTCCCATTTTGCGCGCAGTCGAATGCGGGGAAGATGGTGCGCGAGCCCATGGCGTTGCCGTGCGTCGAGGAGGTTGCTGCGATGAGGGAGGCGCGCGCCGTGTCGGTGGTGCCTTGGTGGAGAGTAATGTCGATCGAGTGCGTGCTGCCGTAGGCCCAGTCTGTGTCATTGGCGGTGGTAAGCGTGAAGGAGGGTTGAGTGAGGCCGGTGGCGAGGTAGGGCGGGATGTACACCTCGCGGGATGTTAGAACATCGGGGAATAGAACATAACAAGTATGAAGGCACCTCAATTCGGAACTCTTCCGGCTGCACCCCACTCTCCGGGTCGGATCCAGAGACGAGGACTCGCCCGTCGGGGAGGAGGATGGCTTCGGAGTGATACAACCGCGCAACGATCGTATTGTTCAAGAACGAGATACGTTGGTTGAATGGCTGCGTAGGGTCGTACAACAGAGCCCCGAGGTTCGGATCGTTGGCCAAGCCGAAGCCCGCAAAGCCTTGCACTGCGCCGTTGAGGATGAGGAAGGTGCCGTCTGGAAGTGCGACCAAGTTGGGCATTACACGTGCGTTGGGCTGTTTCAAATTAACACATGAATTAACCGCGAGGATTGATGAAGAGCGTACCATCCGTTCCAACGCCCACGTCGCGTTTTCAACTTCAGGCTGAATCGAAACACAACTATCGAGTGCGATTCCAGCGCCAGGGCAGCTCCCTCCACAGATGAGCACTTCCAACGGATCCGTATACGGTGCGTGTTGAGGGAAGATCACCGCAGCTCCTTCCATCGGATACGTCCGTCCGCACGTGACTATGGTTGAAAAATTTGGTTGAATGCAAATGGTGGACAAGACTGGGACTCACAATCGTTGACAGCCCCAGGAATGTTGGGGAACTGGATGATAGTGTCGAACGTGCCTGCGTCTATGATACGCGCCTCGTTGTAATATCCTGTTGACATCAACCGTGTGAATTTGGGCAGATAAAAATAAAATACGCACCGATGAAGAGGTTCCCACTGGGCAGAGCAAATACAAAGGGATACAGGTTGTTCGGATCTGCCCCTTGGTGAGTATTTCGGTTGCAAGCGTTGGTGAAACCTCACCTGTTCGATTCAACCAATCCAAAAACACGGTCGTATCGCCGCCTCCTTCCGGCGTCGGGAGAATCTCCGCGCTGGGCTCAGGTGACGCATTGGCTCCTGTCTCACCTCCAATGACAAACACGGTCCCGTTAGGCAGAACCGCCGCGCCTAATTAAATCGATCAGCAATCAATTGAAAGGAATTGACGAAAAGCAAACGCACTCGGGTACCACCTCTGTTTCTGCAAATGCAGCTCGCTAAAGTTCTCCTCCCATTCATTCGTTCCGTTGACACCGGCGGATCCGTCGGGGGTGTACAGCCGGACACCTTTGGTGGAGTCCAGAGACCAGCCCCCGACGTTGAGGATGCGTGCACCCTTGTCGGGAAGAATAACGCTTCCGGAGCAGAAGACGTCGGAGGAGACGTGCATCTCACGCCATGCGAGGTCGAATTGGTCGACGAGGCTGAGGTCGAGCTCGTAGGCACCGGTAGAGTTCTGGAATCTGAGGATGTGATAAATGAGAGATGGTAAAAGAGAAGGATGAGGCCCTTACTGGGATGGGACTTTTTCGAGGAATGCGACTTTCCCGTTGATTCCGAGGGTTGCGATGAGAGGTACGACGACGCTAGTTAACGAGAGATCAGATCGAGTTTGTAGTAGGACCAGTGGAAAACCGACCCAGGAACGAAGAACTAGTAAACGTCAGGTCTACTTCGCTACAGAAAACACCGTCGACTCACCTCATAACGACCGGTAACTTCCGGTTTATTCCAGACGTGCGTGGGTCCCTCCCACGCATAATATGTGAGTCTGTTCTCGCCACCACAAACATGAATCGGGTCACCACTGCAGAAGTTGTCGCATTGATCGTCAGGCTGGATCGTCACATTCGCCGCAGTGACATCCGTGACGTCTCCACAGACTGGATGAACGTTCAGTCGCGAGACGGTTGAAAAATCGAATTAATGAATACTTACAGCACTGGGAGCCTATCAAGGCGTTCAGACCACGATGAAGAAAGTCAAACGGACAACATACCGAATTCCATCCCAGCAGCAGTAAACCCAAAGGCAGCACACTGCCCAAGACACGCAGTCGCAGAGTTGTTGTTCGTGAGAATCAGCTCCCATGGGAAGACGCGGGCGTTGGGAGGCTCTGGCAGACAACCCTGGTAGACGAAGGATCCCGGCAGAGAGTCATTCTGCACCGTGGGGACTGGGAAGATCGTTACATTTGGGGTGGTCGAATAGACGGAGAGTCGGTTTCCGGCGCCACACTAGGATTATTCAGGGTTGGGAAACCACTAAGTTGATAGATAGAGCTTACTGCTTGCGTCGCGTTCCCACCACATGCCTGGTTGCAATCGTTGGGGTCCGGAGCAACCACGGCGCCTTCAATGAGTGCATTTCCGCAGAAACACTGCACTCCGAATTCGAGACCGCTTATCGAAAAGTTCGTGCCCGTGCAAATGTCGACACACATCTCCACTGTCATGGTTGTGTTGTCGATTTCGTTTGGCAGCACGCGACCGTGGGCACCATCTCTGATGAATGCGAATGAGTGAGTAGTAGTTCCGGAAGCGGAAAACGAGGCCGACTCACACGAAGCAACCGAGATAGGCCCAGGGTTCAGGGAGATCCGTCGCGATGGCGGTGACTCCCGTTGGCCCGCCACCCACTGGTGGGGGAGGAGGCGGGAGATTGGTACCCGTGAAATTGAAGACCGTCAACGCATTTGGGCCTCCACACCTTGGCTCGATTAGCCTGGAACTCAAACGACGGAAGAATGCATCACGTACAACTCTGTGCTATTTCCTGCGCACACCATGTTGCACGCAGAGATGTCGATTGGACCGTTGCCGTTGATGATTGCTGTGCCACAGTAGCATTCATCCGCAAATTCGGTTCCCGATAAAGGCATCCCGGCGTTGAAACACGCGGTGGTGCACGTATCCAAAGAGACCTGACCATCCACAGGTGTTGCAGTAAGAGCGCGTCCACCCACATTGTCGCTGAGCACTCTCTGTCAGAAAAGTCCCAGAAGAAGGCAAGATACAAACCTGAAGCACCCGAGCGATACCCATGGTCCAATGGAATCAGGAATAGACGGGAGCGCTGGGGGCGGGACACCAGACCAGAAGACGTTCAGACGACCTGGACCACCGCACGACTCGGCGGGGTCACCCGTACAGGCCATGTTGCAGTCGGTGATTGGGGCGCTGACACCAGAGTTTTCGATGTGATCGTCGCAATCTGGATGAGTGGATGAGGCATGGAGATGGAGATAGGTCGGTCGACATACAGCATTCCTGGGCAAATTCCCTGATGGCACACCGTGTCAGTATGCAGATGATAGGAAGTGAACAAAATCGACGCACACGCCGGCGAAGATGAAGTTTTGACCGTCGCAGAACGCGATACAGTTCTGTCAAGAAATCAATTAGGGTCCGAGAAAAAGTAGAGTCACACACCTCCACCGTCATATTGGTGGTATCAACAGTCGTCGCCCCAGTGAGTGTACGGGGGTTTCCATCGCTGGGAACGCAGAGTCAGCTATAGGCAATATGGGACAAGAGAAATGCCGACGTGTAGCATCCAATGGAGGACCAGTTCCCTGGGAGCGTCGTGGGCACGGATTGCCGGCGATGGGAAGCCGAACGGGCAACCGTGGAAGCCGAGAGCTAAGATGCAGTTAGCCGCAGCCCCTGCCAAATCCAGGCCAACACACATAGAGGAGCGCTAGAGAGTAGTAAATACGAGGAGGACCCATCTCGAGCAAGAGGTGTCTGTCGGTGGTCCGAGACGCTCGATTTTATACACGGTGGAATTAGAATCTCTGAATCTGTACCTGGGGCCGTGTGAGCCAACTAGGGACAAAGATTTCTGCAGTTACGTTCGGATGACAGACCAATGCGCCGGCATCCTCCAAGAACAAATGCAGCCGGGGGTAGGTTCTCCCCAAATTTGAGCGACTGGGACGCTGCCACGATGCATTTTGATGAAATGTCGACCAGAAAATTCCGCGTATGAGGTGTCAATGCCCCGACTATAGGCTCCGAGGAAGCGTCTTGGTGGTCAAGACAAGAAGACAAAGTGCACGTGGCAGCTGACAAAGCGGATCGTACGACAGCCTCTGAGTCTAAAAAGGAATCTTCAAAAGTAGTTCCAGGAGAATCATTCGTGCCTCATCTTGCCAGGCACCCAACTGTCACGGTTTTTGGCCTATCCTTTGTCTCAACTAAGTCTCAACCCTTACCTCGGTCCGACAGAAATAACAACAACCGTCGGAACAGTGACATTTTAGAATGGAACTGCCAGCTACTTGTCAAACAGTGTATCATTTCCGACACGGAACCAAACATAGGTTG